AAAAAAAAAAAAAAAAAAAACATATCTTAGTAAAACCAATACCTTCTCAGCTTCGCATCGAAGCTAAAAATGGGTGGATTATTTCAAAAGCTACATGATCACCTATTTTCTTATTTATATTCTGATTAAGATAAAATGTATGTCGAATGAAAAAAGGATTATTAAACAATATTATTTCTCATAAAAAAATTGTGTTGATTCATACACTTTTCAATAAGATATAGCATTATAAAGTTAAAAATATAAAAAATAAAATCGAGAATTTTCACAAGAAAATAGAAGTCGGTAGCCATTTTCATCACAAAGACAAGTCCAGAGGTCAATTTTTTTTTTCGTAATAAAGTATATTACAATATCTTTAATTTATGATATATATAAAAGTGTTAGACTTTCCGGAACATATTCAAAAGTCAAGTTGAAAAAGTAAATTTTAAATTATAATAACTTATTATAAATAAGTTTAATTTTAAAAAAATTTGTGTATTTTCCAAAAGCTATATGATCTGATAGTTCTTTATTAATATCCTGATTAAGATAAAGTATGGCGAATGAAAAAAGGATTATTAAACAATATTATTTCTCATAAAAAAATTGTGTTGATCCAAACATTTTTTAATAAGTTATAGTATTAAAAAGTTATAATGTAATAAATAAAATCGAGAATTTTCATACAAAAATGTCATTTGGTAGCCATTTTCACCATTAAGACAAGTCCAGAGGTCAAGTTTTTTTTTTAAATTAAAGTATATTACATTAGTTTTAATTTAAGATATATATAAAAGTGTCAGACCTTCCGGAACATTTTCAAAAGTTAAGTTGAAAAAGTTAATTTTTTGTGAAAAAGTTGTCATTTTAAATCCCCCCCTGTGGGTAGGTTAAGTGTCAGATTTACAAAAAAAATATACCAAATGATAAGTAAAGACATCAAGCATCTATATAAAAAAAAATTATATTGATATGTTCATTTTTGAAAAAGTTAGAGCATTATTAAGTTAAAAATATAAAAAAAAATTATTTTACAAAAATCGTAATTTTTTATTAACTTTGATGTCAACTTTCACCACGAAGACAAGTCCAGAGGTCAAATTTTTTTTTTTCAAATTAAAGTATATTACATTAGCTTTAATTTAAGATATATATAAAAGTGTCAGACCTTCCGGAACATTTTCAAAAGTTAAGTTGAAAAAGTTAATTTTTTGTGAAAAAGTTGTCATTTTAAATCCCCCCCTGTGGGCAGGTTAAGTGTCAGATTTACAAAAAAAATATACCAAATGATAGGTAAAGACATCAAGCATCTATATAAAAAAAAATTATATTGATATGTTCATTTTTGAAAAAGTTACGGCAGTTTTTAGTAAAAAAAATTGAAAAAATTTCGAAAATTAGCGATTTTTAAATTTGTAATTTTTTTGGAGGTTTCCCCCATTTACGGGGAACGAGGGAAATTTTTTCAATTTTGAAGGGTAATGTCTTCGACTAGATACGATTTGTGATCTTTTGACGTATCGTTGAAAGAAATCCGTTCGGTGAGAGCTGAAAAAAAGTGGTAACAGACACAAAAAAAAAAAAACATCATAGTAAAACCAATACCTTCTCAGCTTCGCATCGAAGCTAATAAGGGGGTTAATGAGAAAGGGTATTGAAAATAAAGAACTATCCTTTTTCTCGGGCTGTGTTGTTCGAGGGTCTATGTTTAATAGCATTAATTTGCAAGCTGAGTTGGAATGTTGTTACCTGAGGTTTAACTATCCTTTAGACATGCAGACTAGTGATAAAAAAGAACGCAAAGCCAAACAGTTGTTGATGAAAAAATAGTATAATTAATGTAACTTTACATATATTTATATAAAAAATTGTAATAATAACGCGAAGTTTACCGAGAGATATTATTCTTAATAAACACAACTTTAAAATGTATTATTTTTTATATACTTAATAAATTTAGACTCTACATGGCGCAAAAAAAATCGACTTTAAAAATTTTTATCAGACACCTCCTAGATTTATTAAGTATTTATAAAAAAACATGTTTTGAAAATTTGAGATCGATAAAAAAATTTTTGCAGGTCGATCAAAACGTTTTTCGTATTTTTACCAAAAATACCCCTTATTTATTAAAATTCTAAATTTTGGTCAATTATAATCATCTATATATGTAAAATGTAGTATTTTTAACGTAGAAAACGGTTTTATAATTTTTTAATTTCTAAGACCTATATTGATTACGTAATTTACCTAAACGTCTAAGTATATGGTACTTTTCGGATCGATCTGAAAGGGCCCAAAATTTTTTTTTAAGTTTTAAAAAATTGATAGTTAAATTAATTGTTATGTTTATTATATGGTGTAAAAATTTTTTTTACTAATAATAAAATTTAATACTTTATTATGATGTTTTATTAAGTCATATAATTAACTTTATATTAAAAATATAATTCTTGTACTAAATGGATTTTATAGAATAATTTTTTCCACAATTTTTATTACAAATGTTTAGAACACTAAAATAACAAACAGATATAAATAATTGTATTTATTCATTTTTTTTTTTGTTAATCAAAGATGGTTTTTTTGCATCGGGAAAGTCACTTCTGTGTTTTTTAACAACTTGAAGGATGTTTTGTCTTTGTTCCTCATCTGTTGTTAAGGAGTTATTAAAATTTGTCATCATAGCTACTCCTCTCTCTGCTGGATCATTCTCAACGTATAAGGATTTGACTTTATTATAGCCATGAATGAAACTTTCATTTTCTAGCCAAGTTTCTGGGTCATAATTTATAAAATTATAGTCAATGCTAAATGCTGAAAAAAATTGTTTTGTATTTTCTGTTACAAATTGATGAATACCGATGTTTTCTTGAATTGAGTTCATTGAAATTCGATTTTTGTAATTAGCTTCAGCTTTATTATTTAAGGATTTTACCATTTTGTTTTTCTGTATTTGTTAAATCGTTGTCAAAAAAAGCTAGTCCAACAAGTGTTTCACTGAGGTACCATAAATGACCAAAAAAATCTTTTACACCTACGTCACTTATAATCTTATTAATTTTACTGTAATCTTTAAGTTGAGTTAATAAATTAAGATCATTTTGAGGAGCAATAGCTGCACAACAACATGTAAACCAAAAATGTATATATATTTTTAAAATAAATAAATTAAATTCTTGTATACCTTTAAGTTCATCAGGTGTCAATTAAAATTGGTCTCGAAACATATAAATTTTTAAGCAATATATTATTTTAGCCATCCATCTAGCTCGATGAAGAGCTCCAGGAGATCTAAAACTAATTATTCCCGAGTGTTTCCTTCCAACACACAATAAACATAACTCCAATAATTCTTTGTAATCATCACGTGAATGATTAATTTTAAGTTGCTTTTCACAAAATTCAATAATATTTTGTACATTTGATTTTATTTTTTTAAACAATTCATCATCTGTAATCATAGTACTATATGAATTTTTATTAATATATATATATCCGATTACTTGAAAACCGTTTAAATAAAACTATATCTGGTCCAGTGGACGGTGGCATAAGCTTAACAAAAACTCGACTAATGATTATTTCGTGTATGTGATGCCTGCATGCAAAATTCAGTAATTTCTTATCTAATTTACTCTCTATCAAAGTGCATGCACCGTTTAATTATCCTGTATTAGAAGCTGTAGTGTCAAAACACATCATAGTGGTGCGATCAACTAAATTCCAGTCTAATAATAATTTTACAACGGCATTTGCTACTGATTGTCCAGTTGTCTTAAGTAACTATGGTACACCAAGAAGCTTTGTATTTCCGTCAACAGACACTATTACAGCTAATCTATCGACAACATATTTTTTATCAGATGGTAACATTTTCCCATCCGAATGTAATCCCAATGTAACCATTAATGTACAATGAGGTTTAAATAAATTTAATATTTCTTCTGATATAATTTTTCTATCACTAATGCGAGCTCTTCTTATTGTGTCTTTGCTAATTGACACGTCTTTTATTTCTGTATCTGAATTTGTTAAAATCGCTGCTAAAATATATGTGGCATTTCGGTTAGATACGTTAGTTCTATCAAGCGCCGATGTTAGGTGTGGTGTCATAATTTTTAAACGTGTTTTACTTGTTGTTGGTTTTTCAATATCGCATTCAAATTCTGAGTGACTTGTATTATGTGAGCTATCGTCGGTACTTGATAGACTTTCTAATTTTTTTCCTGTGCGACGTTCAAGTTCTTTAAACTCAATAACTTTTTTATTATTTGAACGAGTATTTTTGGGTATAACTTTTTTGAAATTTGGAATTACGGTCCTAGAGCAATCCATTTCACGCTGAGTAACAAGGAAGTCTTTCTCTTCTTTTGACAAATCGGAATTTAATGCATTAGCAAGGCTAATATCGAATAAGTAGTTTAATGACTCTACAAATGCGGCTTCGTCATTATTTTGAGTAGTACTAATTCTATTTTTATTTTTATTTACATTCATCCATTTAGTATGGAGTTTTTTTATTCGTGTAACTATGTGACAAGTATGCTTTATTAAAATATTTGTTTTTGACCATATTTCAATCAAATGTGTCGCACACATTGAAGCACTAACTGATATTGTCTTTTTGTTAACATTAGGAAAATATAGAAAATAGCCAAGAACTTCACGTTTTGATGGAAGTCGATTACCAACGATCTTCTTAATTGGGGTTATAATAAACGGATAATTTTTTGATTTAGCACCGTCCATAATAACTAAAATGAAGTTATTTAAACTTTAGCCGTTATTAATTAATTAAGTAGGTTAAATNAAAAAAAATTGAAAAAATATCGAAAATTAGCGATTTTTAAATTTGTAATTTTTTTGGAGGTTTCCCCCATTTACGGGGAACGAGGGAAATTTTTTCAATTTTTGAGGGTAATTTCTTCAACTAGATACGATTTGTGATCTTTTGACGTATCGTTGAAAGAAATCCTTTCGGTGAGACCTGAAAAAAAGTGGTAACAGACACAAAAAAAAAAAAACATCATAGTAAAACCAATACCTTCTCAGCTTCGCATCGAAGCTAATAAGGGGGTTAATGAGAAAGGGTATTGAAAATAAAGAACTATCCTTTTTCTCGGGCTGTGTTGTTCGAGGGTCTATGTTTAATAGCATTAATTTGCAAGCTGAGTTGGAATGTTGTTACCTGAGGTTTAACTATCCTTTAGACATGCAGACTAGTGATAAAAAAGAACGCAAAGCCAAACAGTTGTTGATGAAAAAATAGTATAATTAATGTAACTTTACATATATTTATATAAAAAATTGTAATAATAACGCGAAGTTTACCGAGAGATATTATTCTTAATAAACACAACTTTAAAATGTATTATTTTTTATATACTTAATAAATTTAGACTCTACATGGCGCAAAAAAAATCGACTTTAAAAATTTTTATCAGACACCTCCTAGATTTATTAAGTATTTATAAAAAAACATGTTTTGAAAATTTGAGATCGATAAAAAAATTTTTGCAGGTCGATCAAAACGTTTTTCGTATTTTTACCAAAAATACCCCTTATTTATTAAAATTCTAAATTTTGGTCAATTATAATCATCTATATATGTAAAATGTAGTATTTTTAACGTAGAAAACGGTTTTATAATTTTTTAATTTCTAAGACCTATATTGATTACGTAATTTACCTAAACGTCTAAGTATATGGTACTTTTCGGATCGATCTGAAAGGGCCCAAAATTTTTTTTTAAGTTTTAAAAAATTGATAGTTAAATTAATTGTTATGTTTATTATATGGTGTAAAAATTTTTTTTACTAATAATAAAATTTAATACTTTATTATGATGTTTTATTAAGTCATATAATTAACTTTATATTAAAAATATAATTCTTGTACTAAATGGATTTTATAGAATAATTTTTTCCACAATTTTTATTACAAATGTTTAGAACACTAAAATAACAAACAGATATAAATAATTGTATTTATTCATTTTTTTTTTTGTTAATCAAAGATGGTTTTTTTGCATCGGGAAAGTCACTTCTGTGTTTTTTAACAACTTGAAGGATGTTTTGTCTTTGTTCCTCATCTGTTGTTAAGGAGTTATTAAAATTTGTCATCATAGCTACTCCTCTCTCTGCTGGATCATTCTCAACGTATAAGGATTTGACTTTATTATAGCCATGAATGAAACTTTCATTTTCTAGCCAAGTTTCTGGGTCATAATTTATAAAATTATAGTCAATGCTAAATGCTGAAAAAAATTGTTTTGTATTTTCTGTTACAAATTGATGAATACCGATGTTTTCTTGAATTGAGTTCATTGAAATTCGATTTTTGTAATTAGCTTCAGCTTTATTATTTAAGGATTTTACCATTTTGTTTTTCTGTATTTGTTAAATCGTTGTCAAAAAAAGCTAGTCCAACAAGTGTTTCACTGAGGTACCATAAATGACCAAAAAAATCTTTTACACCTACGTCACTTATAATCTTATTAATTTTACTGTAATCTTTAAGTTGAGTTAATAAATTAAGATCATTTTGAGGAGCAATAGCTGCACAACAACATGTAAACCAAAAATGTATATATATTTTTAAAATAAATAAATTAAATTCTTGTATACCTTTAAGTTCATCAGGTGTCAATTAAAATTGGTCTCGAAACATATAAATTTTTAAGCAATATATTATTTTAGCCATCCATCTAGCTCGATGAAGAGCTCCAGGAGATCTAAAACTAATTATTCCCGAGTGTTTCCTTCCAACACACAATAAACATAACTCCAATAATTCTTTGTAATCATCACGTGAATGATTAATTTTAAGTTGCTTTTCACAAAATTCAATAATATTTTGTACATTTGATTTTATTTTTTTAAACAATTCATCATCTGTAATCATAGTACTATATGAATTTTTATTAATATATATATATCCGATTACTTGAAAACCGTTTAAATAAAACTATATCTGGTCCAGTGGACGGTGGCATAAGCTTAACAAAAACTCGACTAATGATTATTTCGTGTATGTGATGCCTGCATGCAAAATTCAGTAATTTCTTATCTAATTTACTCTCTATCAAAGTGCATGCACCGTTTAATTATCCTGTATTAGAAGCTGTAGTGTCAAAACACATCATAGTGGTGCGATCAACTAAATTCCAGTCTAATAATAATTTTACAACGGCATTTGCTACTGATTGTCCAGTTGTCTTAAGTAACTATGGTACACCAAGAAGCTTTGTATTTCCGTCAACAGACACTATTACAGCTAATCTATCGACAACATATTTTTTATCAGATGGTAACATTTTCCCATCCGAATGTAATCCCAATGTAACCATTAATGTACAATGAGGTTTAAATAAATTTAATATTTCTTCTGATATAATTTTTCTATCACTAATGCGAGCTCTTCTTATTGTGTCTTTGCTAATTGACACGTCTTTTATTTCTGTATCTGAATTTGTTAAAATCGCTGCTAAAATATATGTGGCATTTCGGTTAGATACGTTAGTTCTATCAAGCGCCGATGTTAGGTGTGGTGTCATAATTTTTAAACGTGTTTTACTTGTTGTTGGTTTTTCAATATCGCATTCAAATTCTGAGTGACTTGTATTATGTGAGCTATCGTCGGTACTTGATAGACTTTCTAATTTTTTTCCTGTGCGACGTTCAAGTTCTTTAAACTCAATAACTTTTTTATTATTTGAACGAGTATTTTTGGGTATAACTTTTTTGAAATTTGGAATTACGGTCCTAGAGCAATCCATTTCACGCTGAGTAACAAGGAAGTCTTTCTCTTCTTTTGACAAATCGGAATTTAATGCATTAGCAAGGCTAATATCGAATAAGTAGTTTAATGACTCTACAAATGCGGCTTCGTCATTATTTTGAGTAGTACTAATTCTATTTTTATTTTTATTTACATTCATCCATTTAGTATGGAGTTTTTTTATTCGTGTAACTATGTGACAAGTATGCTTTATTAAAATATTTGTTTTTGACCATATTTCAATCAAATGTGTCGCACACATTGAAGCACTAACTGATATTGTCTTTTTGTTAACATTAGGAAAATATAGAAAATAGCCAAGAACTTCACGTTTTGATGGAAGTCGATTACCAACGATCTTCTTAATTGGGGTTATAATAAACGGATAATTTTTTGATTTAGCACCGTCCATAATAACTAAAATGAAGTTATTTAAACTTTAGCCGTTATTAATTAATTAAGTAGGTTAAATTTACTATTAAATACTTACAACTTATAAATTATTGCACTATATATTTTTATGAAATAATAAAATTAAACTTTAAATTAGTTACTGTTACTTTCTCGTAGGCTAAACAATTTTTATATTTGTGAATTCTAGATGAAATATAAGAGATACATTTGATTAAAATGTATGAAAATGCTGATCTAACAGGTACACAAAAACTTTTAAAAACTTATATAACTACTTGTGAACAATACATCAGACACTGTAACAATATTATCATCAAAAAAAAGGTGACTTAATGTTTGATATCTATCTTGTAGATCATAAATTTATGATTATTTAATTGATAAATAGCATGTATGGTTATTATTCTGCCTTAATACCGTGTAACAATGATATCTTTATTGATAGAAATCAATAAAAATAAAATCAAAACTTAGTTTTAAAAAAACGTGAAAATAAGGTATTAAATTTTATTATTATTAAAAAAAATTTTTACACCATAAAATAAACATAACAATTAATTTAACTATCAATTTTTTAAAACTTAAAAAAAAATTTTGGGCCCTTTCAGATCGATCCGAAAAGTACCATATACTTAGACGTTTAGGTAAATTACGTAATCAATATAGGTCTTAGAAATTAAAAAATTATAAAACCGTTTTCTACGTTAAAAATACTACATTTTACATATATAGATAATTATAATTGACCAAAATTTAGAATTTTAATCATATTTTAATAAATAAGGGGTATTTTTGGTAAATTTTTACAGGTCGATCAAAACGACCTGTAAATATTTTTTTATCGATCTCAAATTTTCAAAACATGTTTTGTTTTTATATACTTAATAAATCTAGGGGGTGTCTGATAAAAATTTTTAAAGGCGATTTTTTTTTTGCGTCACCATACACAGTGTGTATGGTATTCATAGATTTGGAGAAAGCATATGATAGAGTACCGGGAGAGGTCTTAAAGAAGGAATTAATTTCAAAGGTACTTCGAAAAGGTACATTAATATGATAGAGGATATTTATGGTGTCACTTGTACCAGGGTAATAAGTGTAATCGGTATAACAGAAGTTATTAGGATAAGAGTAGGATTGCACCAAAGTTCTGTTTAAGGTCTTAATTATTTTCTTTAGTGGTGAATTGAATAATTATATAAATACAAGGAGAGGTACCGTGGTGAATGTTGTTCGCTGGAGATATAGTGTTGAAAGAGATAATAGGGGCAAAATTAATCAATGGCTAGAAATTTGAAGATAAGCTCTTGAAGGAAAATAATTAAGTAGGTGTAAGATAGAGTTAGTAGAGTACGAGTTAAGTTGGATTGTATTTATTGGTTACATATTGAAATACGCTATGTATTTATAATATAGTATATTTTATATCAATATGTTATTAAGTTTTTTTTTGATTAATATTTAATTAATGAAAAAAAGGTAATATATAGGAGAAATATTATGCCCTATTCAAATAATTTTAAAAAAGTTACAAATCTATTTAAACAAATTTGTTATATTCTGCGTAAATTAAACTAAAAATTTTCTCTAACTTTTCTTTTAATTCATCGAGATCTTCTGATATATCATGAAAATTGTATGACTCTTCATTTTCTTGTTTTTTGGGAAATTCATCCAATAATTTATTTATTAAATCTTGTGGTAGTATGTGATTATCCCAAAGTTCGGAAGCTGTAAATATATTTTGAAAATCATATTTTTTCAATTCTTCGTGTGTTAAAAAATAGCATGCGNTTTTCTTGTTGTTTGGGAAATCCTTTTAATAATTCATTTATTAAATCTTGTGGTAGTATGTTATTATCCCAAAGATCGGAATGTGTAAATATATTTTGAAAATCATATTTTTTCAATTCTTCGTGTGTTAAAAAATAGCATGCGTATTGTTGTACCATCATTTTTAATCTAATCAGTCTACCTGTTCCATCATACTTTTCATTTATTAAGTGTTTCAAGTAGATACTGAAATCATTAAAGGGATTCAATTTTAACATTGTTTTATTTATTTTATGAGAAACTTCTAATAACTGTCCCCAATATGATTTTGAATTTTGTTGAATAATTAGAATTTCATAGGCATATACAGATAGCAAGATCACATACTTTAAAGATCGATCAAACATAATATTCTTTGCTTCATCAATAGTTGATTGAAGAGTTCTTTCGTATGTTGTTGAATTATTAATTAAATCTTCAAGCGCTATATAAGATTTTTCAATAGAATTCAATTCAATAAGATCATTTTTGACATAATTCCATAAAGGCAATTTTTGAATACCTTCTAGTTGACCTTTCATTTTTTCATCATAAATTGTATCATTTATTAAATGTGTATTGCTATTAAGATTACTCTTCTGTAAAATATAAATTAAAAATTTAAATATAATTGTACATAATTTTTTTTTTTATAATTTTTTTTATTAGTTTTAATTATAAAAATGTTATTGTTCAACAGTTACACAAGAATTAGCATTAATTATGTTAAAATAAATTTTTTTAGGTACATCATATAATATTTATGGCAATAGAATTTTAATTAAGTCATTCAGTTGCAAAAGGAATTATGTTCAAATATTGTTATTTGGGTTCTGTTCACCATACGCTGCCTGCTCGTTATTGGTCGGAGAAACTTTATTGCTGAATAGATCAAGTAGTAGGTTATGAAATATTAACGTAGTTAACCGATTAATCTGTCTGTTACAGTAGAAGTATAATAAATTAAAATTCGAATTGTAATAAACTATAATATTTTTCAACTGTTACTTAATTAAAACTGTTATAAATTAAAAAGAAACCCAGTAGTATCAGGTTAACCACATAGTGATGATTTGGCATAGTGAACTTCAATACAGATTGATATTGTATAGTAATATTTAACAATATTATAATATGTTTAGAACGCTTGTGCAAAAAGAAATTACTTAAAAAATGTATAGAACAAATTTAACAGATGTTTTATAAATTTTGATTTAAGTTATAAATTGCTTAAACAAGAAAAATGTCTGAATAATTTTCTTTTATTAAATTTAAAGAAAATGTTAAAAACTTTAATTATTATGGATTTAAAAATAATATATACATTCAATTAAAAATTGAGAAATAATTACTAATGCAAACAAACTAAAAAAAAGTTTTTTACATTATTATATTTTCAGAAAAAATAAAATGTTCAATGAAACAATCATTCTGTATTTGTGCATATTTTATCATGCTACAAATTAAAGCTCATAATATGTACTATATATATTATATATAGTCAAAATTTAGATTAAAATATAAGTATTGTTTTCGTACCCATAAAAAAAATTTGTTCTACTTTTGCTACACTGCCTTTTAACCAAATCTATTATCCTTAAAATGTGTCGAAGGAAGAGATTGTCATTCTTATACCCCAATGATCAGTTTTATTGCTACTTAACACATTTATATTACACATAACATATTTTTATCTCTATTACCAACGTTTTGACTAGTTAAACCCGCTTTACCTTATTGATAAAGATAGACATGATATTTTCATTGGCTTGTTATCATGGTTGTGTATGATAATAATTATCATGTCTTATAATTTAATTATTAATTTTGATAGTTAATTAATTTATCTTAATACTTATCCACCATATGTCATTTATTTTATTATTAATTACATTACTTTTATTATGACATAAAAGTGTAAGTGACGGCGCAACTCTATTAGAGTTTTTAATTCGTAAAGATAAAATTTTTTTGTTTTTGTTATTTTAATCTACATTCTATACCTCTCATTTAATTAATTTTGATAAATGCTGCATATTAATTTCAAAATCCTTTACAAGAGTTTTAATTTTATAGTTATAAAAATTAATTATCAAATAATTATTGAATAATCTATTAATTAACCAAAAATCATTCAATTATGTAAGACTCATCACGAGTTACTTACCATACTTTGTATTCGCGTGCTTAAAAAGATGTAAACTTTATACAAAATGAATAACAATTTAAGATCTATGGCATATAATTTTATATTTTTTATTAAGTGATTTTAGGTGTTAATTAAAAAAAAATATTTGTATTTACATTTGTATATATTCGTGATAAGTCTGTATTTAGTTGAAATTAAATTATATTTGTTAATGGTTAAAACTTAAATTTTTATAAACATAAATATTTTAAACATAATAATTATTATTAACTCACATTGATTTTAACTACTTTGAATTCAATATTGTAGTCAAACTCTTGTATAAATGATTCCAATTCATTAATACATTGTCCTGTAAATAAAATGATTTCATGATGTGTTCATTTTCTTAAAGATATTACAATGAATTTCTGTTTTGTTTTATAAATACAGTAATATGATTGAACAGGTAACATACGGATTTTATTTAACAGGATCTATACATACCATCGTATTGGTATCTATATAATGATGTGTTGTGCATTAATAGGATATAATCTTCTTTAAACGTCTTAAAATATAAATAACAGTTATTAAAAAAAAAAAATAGATATTTTATAAGTGGAAAACACAAAATCATAATAATTATTCAATTATTGAATCTTTATTTTAGCTTCGATACGAAGCTGAGAAGGTACTAATATTACTATGATGTGTTTTTTTTATGTCTATCGCCACTTTTCAACTCTTACAGAACTGATTTCTTTCAACGATACGTCAAAAGTTCACAATTAATATATAGGTGAAAAAATTGTCCTTAAATATTGAAAAAGTTTTTCTTGTTCTCTGTGAATAGTGGAAAACCCCAAAAAATATATAATTTATAAAATCGGTAAATTTTGAAATATTTTTCTTAAAACTGCCATAACTTTTTTTAAATGATTAAAACAAAATAATGCTTTTTTTATATTAAAACGTTAAGTTTTTTTCTTTCATTTCTGACCCTTTATCTGCCAATAGGAGAAGATTCAAAATAGCAACTACTACACAAAAATTTAACTTTTTTAACATTAATTCTGAAAATGTTCCAGAAATACTCCGAGCATCAAACATATGTTAAAAGAAACTTATGTTATGTACTATAAATTAAAAAAAAAATTTCTTCCTAATGATTTATCTTATACGTACAAATGGATACCGTCGTTAAAAATATACTATTTTCGTGATAAAAATTTTCGATATTCAATTTCATGTTTTCAACTTTAAATTGCTATAATTTTTTTAAATATGTATGGATCAACACAAAATTTTGTTTCTAAATACTTTATGTACACTCCTTTATTCCGACATACTTTTTTTTAAAACATACTCATTAAAAGTAGAACTTTTTTAACTTAATTTTTCAAAAAATTCCTATCCACATTTGTGTATATAAGAATCTATGATTCATCTATAATACATTTAATTGTTATATGTTTTGAAAATTTATTCTACATTCATTCATACAGTCTACCTTATTCCTTTTTCTCGATATAGCCTGACTTAAGACAAAATAAAACAACAAACCGGCGCCACCGGGCGCTATGTTCATTAATTTTGTCTTACGTTCTGAAATCTTTGCTTCACCATTTTCAAAAGTTTTATTTAATTATACAAGATTTTTGATTTGAAATATGACACCATAAACTTTTAATCGAATTAAAAACCTTTTTTGATTAAGAAATTAAAATTTTTATCACACTTTACATCATGGAAATCTTTTTTTTTTAGTTCAATTTTAACCATATATTTGAACTTTTAATGAATAATAGTGATCGACAACGATTTTCAAATTCCAAATAATTTTGATATCAGCAGTTTTTATTCGGTAAAAATTCAATATCGATATTAAATTTTAATGATGTTAAATTTTTGATATGGATTTAAATGGACTATATAAAATTTCACTTTTGTTCAATATTAAAGTGGACCAGTTATATCTGTTTCAATGATGAGTTTATTTCAAATAATCTATTTCACATATATGTGAATGCTTGAATTTTTTTTCCCAAAGATATTGTAATATCAATAAAAAGTCAACCAGTTTTGGCTACTAGCACTGAAACAATATTGACATATGACTGAGTTGATAATGATTTTCTGTACTAATTAAATAGTACTGGTGGTTTTGAATAATCAAGTCTACTATATTAAAAAACCCAGCACAGAGGGTAATGGCACAGTAGTGACGTGTCATAGTTGGGTCAAGTATAATAATATCTGACAGTGATGAAAATCATTATCATAAAAAACGCTTCGATGCAAATCTTTAGATAGTGTTTAATTTAAAAAAATTGGTGGATTATTCCAAAAGCTACTTGATCACCTATTTCTTTTTTATATCCTAATTAAGATAAAATGTATGTCGAATGAAAGATGTATATAAATACTACTTCTCATGAAAAAATTGTTTTGATCCATACATTTTTCAAAAAGTTATAGTTTTAAAAAATGTAAAATATAAAATCGATAATTTTCATTCAAAAATAGCATTCCGGTAGCCATTTTCACTGTGAAGATACGATCAAGTCCAAATTTTTTTTCCATTATAAAGTATATTACATTAAGTTTAATTTAAGATATATATATTTATATATGTATATAAGTGTCATACTTTCCGGAATACTTTCAAAAGTTAAATTAAAAAAGTTAATTATTTGTAAAAAAGTTGTCACTTTGAAGTTGTCCTTTCTGTAGGCAGGTAAAGATTCAGATCTATAATAATAATATACCAAATGAAAGGTAAAGACATCATTCATCTATAAAAAAACAATAATGACAATTTTAAGTAAAAAGAATTGAAAAAATGTTGAGAATTTTAGATTTAATATTTTTGTAATTTTTTTGGAGATTTCCCCCATTTACGGGGAACGAGGGAAATTTTTTCAGTTTTTGATGGTAATGTACTCGACTAGATACGATTTATAATCTTTTGACGTATCGTTGAAAGAAATCGGTCCAGTGAGAGCTGAGAAAAAGTGGTGTCAGACACAAAAAAAACACGTCATAGTAAAAACAATACGTTCTCCACTTCGTATCGAAGCTAAAATAAATATATTATATTGTGTGGTTCTTTTTTCATTAACCACTTAGTTACACAACATTAAATACATAAAATTATAATGTATAATATTGACACTTTTACTTATGATTTCTTCAAATTCCATGTTTCAGTCAATTCACTAATCTAAGGTATATTTCATGTTCATCCCTTACCACTTAAATTATGACTGATGGTGAAGGCCCCGTTCTCGTCTCGTCAAGGAATACAAATTTTAATAAATGAAGATAAATTAAGAACAAAGAAAGTTGAAACTCTCATGAGTTGACTAAAATAAAGAACTAAAAGAAATCAAAAAACAATTTCTCAATATTATATTTAATTTTTGATTAATTAAGTAGTTAATTATAAAAAAAAATACTTTGTAAATATTTTTAACGATTCATGCTTATATACGTAAAAAAATCANAAAGAACTAAAAGAAATCAAAAAACAATTTCTCAATATTATATTTAATTTTTGATTAATTAAGTAGTTAATTATAAAAAAAATACTTTGTAAATATTTTTAACGATTCATGCTTATATACGTAAAAAAATCATGTGCTTAAATATTAAAACCCGCTTGTAATAAAAGTAACATACAATTTTAAGCTTAATTTCTTGTCCATTATTATGACAGCTATAATCATTCGTCTAAAAAATAATAAAATATAAGTACTTTTTAAATTTTTACTAAAATTATACAGAATAAATGTTTATATTATTTTTATTTATTATCATTATTATTATTACTGATATGAATAGGTTTGAGCTCAAAAATTTGTATGTATATGACAAATTTTTGAGTTTAAAAATAAGAAAAAATATAACCACACCTCTTATTGAGCACATTTATGATAAAAATACTTACATAATTCAAACAAATTTCTGCAAAAATGTCTTTAACATTTACAAAAGTCTGAAATAATATCCAAAAATCTAAATATTCATTTTTAGTTTAATTCTGGGGAGGTATAAGCGGGATCTTCAAATAATCAGTATTATATATATAAATTGTATATAATAAAAACTCATAAATCCCACAAATGGCGTTTAAATATTCTTATAACTTGTATAGAAAAGAATGTTTTCTGTCATAAGCTAAAAATTATGGGTAAATTTTAACAAGAAAGATTGTTTTTAAACTACAAAATGTCAATTCGCATAAAGAACCTAGTAAATTTTAAAATTTGTTTTTTTCTATCCTAAACAATCACAAAAATATTTTGCATTTTATATTAGAAATAGCCTAAGATATAAATACTTATTTACAGGGTAATTGTTTTAATATTAGCCACTCGATTTCTCTTAAAATAATAATTATATTAAAAAAATTATTTTTGGTATTTTTATTTTCATATATATTTTTCTAAATTTCTCAATTATTAAGTAGTTTTTTAATTCTACTAATACCTTATACAGTTGTATAATGGCTTTGTTCAATGGTTAATCGTGGGGCTGGTGGAGGTGTTGCGACTTTAAATATAACACTGCTAGTCATTGTATAAAAATTATCGTATTAAATGTAATAAAATAAAACTAGAAAATAGACATGAAAATAATAACAATAGCGATTATTCTATTATAGTAACCGATAACAAAGAGCGTACACGTATTAATTCTAAAAATAAACTACCAATATAGTAATATAATAATATTTTACCATAAGGACNTAACTACCAATATAGTAATATAATAATATATTACCATAAGATCCGACGCTGCCGGTTGTTTAAACACTGCCCGTGTGTGTATAATATACACACACATAATATGTACTCCCATATACTGAGGAAAACAACTTAAATGTTTGCACACGACAAATGTGATATTACTATTTTACTATTTAAAATTTTTATTTTTAATAAAAATGTAGAATTAAGTATAGACAATTAATTTTCTTCTTTTAATTAATTTTAGTAGGGGTGCGATCGTCCCGTTGTCCAAGCAACAAGACGCCACTTCACTAGTTATATCTAACAAAAGCAATTTTCGGCGTTAAAAACTAAATAGAATTGCGTCATATAATTGTTTTAAAATATATTTAATTTTAGTATTAAACATTATATTTTAAAAATATTATTGTAATATCAAAATTTAGTTTTTCACATTTTTTCAATATTACCAGTAATTATATCAGGATCTATTTATAAGAAGTACATTTTTAAAATCCTTATAAAATATCCTATTAGCCATAAAAAATTGATAATTACTGGTGTAAGTACAAAAAAATTATGGGAAAAATATGAGTTTTTATTGTAAAATGACCGTCAAAATCAACTTTGAATGACATGTGTAGTGGATTAACTTTAGATATAGATCTTCAATGTTGTATGTGCCTCTTAAATATAGCACATTGTAGTTTTTAATGGGTTTTCTGATTTTAATTTTAAAAAATAGGTGGATTATTCCAAAAGCTACATGATTTCTTATTTCCTTATTAAATTCTAATTACAAGTCTTATGATTTATAAGTGTAATATAGGAATATTATAGGGTGATTGAAATCTGTGAATACACTCATTTTCTCAGAAAATATTGAGAATTTTAAATTTTATTATTGAAAAAAAATATCAAGTTCAAAAAACTCTACAATAATATGTAGTCAAACCATTTTTTTTTTGTCCCTTCAAGTATAAAAACCCTTATTTATAATTTTCTTAAATGGGAATCCCTATTTTTAACTTTATAATATAATAGAAAATAAAATTCCAAACAATTTTGTTCTTATATTTTTTGTTATCCAATTAACCGTTTGTCCGTTACAGCTTGTTAAAGTTAAGTGATTTTAGGCCAAATTTCTATTGTCATTTTCTGTATTCAATACAGAAGTCATTGTTTTTATTTGCTGTTGCATAAGCCAAATTTTATTGATCAAGTTATGACAGGTAAATTAGCTATTAAAATTTACTACGCACTAAATGAGTGATAACAATAATAGATTCAAACCGGTTTTCGGTGTATTATTAATAGCTAAGTCTATGGTTTTGTAAAACTAAAGGATCTAACAAA